GTGCTGTGACGTCCGTCCGTGAATATTAAATCAGCTCACTGACGTTGTTAGGTGCCATCAAGTTGATTCTGACTCACAGCGACCCTATATAGTGTTTCCAAGGAGCAGCTGGTGGGTTTGAGCCATTGACCTTTCAGTTAGTAGTCCAGCACTACATATTCTACAGTGCCACACCAGACTTGACGTGGGGGTGCGGGTGGCGTGCCATGGAGTCGATTCCAACTCATAGCAATCCTGTATAGAGTTTCAGAGGTGGTAAATCTTGACGGGAGCAGAAAGCCTCATGTTTCTCTGTGGAGCCCCTGGTGGACTCGAACTCCTGACCTTGCAGTTAGCAACCCAATGCATCACCCACTTCTCTACCAGGACAATTTTCCTGTTTAATGCTGTCGAATTGGTTCCAACCCATAGCAACCCTGTATAGGGTTTCCAAGGAGCAGCTGGTGAGCTTTGAACTGCTGACCTTGCAGTTCAAGTGACTTTGCAGTTCAGCACATTAACCACAGTGCCACACCAGGACTCCGACATAGTAGGTTTTTAATAAATAGTGGCTCATCCTTGGCTTTCTCTTCTTTTTATTATTGTTAGCAACAAATAGAAGCTACCGTGTTATGTACTAAGTAGGGAAGATAAAGGACTAAAAGTTGTATCAATGGGAAGACTTATCTGATGAGGTGGAGTGCAGTTGGACTTGAGAAGATCGAGGACTGGCATAGTTAGGAACGACATACAGTGTTAGGCTGGTGAATTGCATTGGGAGGAGTAAAGGATCTAGTAGAAGGTGTGGCCCAGAATTATTGCTGACGTAAAGTTATTAATGTTGTTAGGTGTGACCTTATGCACAACAGAACGAAACACTACCCAGTCCTCTCCCAACCTCACTATCATTGCTATGCTTGAGCCCATTGCCGCTACCACTGTGCCAGTTGATCTTGTTGGGGGTCTGCCTCTTTTTTGCCATCCGTAGCCCCACTTTACCTAGCATGATGTCCTTCTCTGGGGACTGGTCCCTCCTGATAATATGTCCAAAGCATGAGAGACGAAGTCTGGCTATCCTGGATTCTCATGAGCACTCTGGCTGCACTTTTTCCAACACAGATTTATTTGTTCTTTTAGCAGTTCGTGGTACTTTTAATATTCTCCTCCAACACCGTAACTCAAATGCATCGATTCTTCTATGGTCGTCTTTATTCATGGTCCAACTTTCACATGCATGTGAGGTTATTGAAAATACCCCAGCTTGGGTCATGAAGTAAAATAGGGGTTCTAGTTGGTGGAGGTTCTCAGAGGATTTTGGATTTAGTATTAGGATGGCGATAATCATAATTTCTTGAACTGGGAATGAAACTTAACTTTGGAGATCTTTAAACTAAGATTTCCTGGAGGATGTCAGAGGACAGGAAGACCACCAGGAAGGTATCTAGAATTGTTCTGGGGCTTCACTGGGGTAGTGGTCATGAGTCTGGGGACCAAGAGAGCTATCTGAAGACCTGAAATGGAGACATAGTAGAATTTGGGAATAGGGTAAGTCTCAGGAACCACGAAAGACAGAAGGTTCTACGCTCCGTCCTCAGAAGCCCTGAATGGACTATGAAAGTATTGGTGGTAACAGAAATAGGGAGGAGACACCTCGTGACCATGAAGTGAGTTTGTGAAGGCCTCACCCTTAAAAAGCAGGGCTAAGAATCCCCAAAACAGGGAGAGGACCTTCGTCAGATGCCATGTTTCTTCATAGGATGAGAATCATGGAAGGTCACGTTTATGTGTGTAATTTTGTAAATCGAATTAATGAGTATTTGAAGTTTCACAACAGAATTGCTCGTGTTCCAGAAACTATGTTCTTAATAAAATTCCTGGGTTCTGAATAAAACGGCTTATTGTCACATTGTACTTACATCTGCTTCAGTAGAGAGACTCACAAAAGTTTTTTTTTTTTTTT